TATTAAATATTAAATATTAAATATTAAATATTAAATATTAAATATTAAATATTAAATGAAAAACAACATTCTTTTTGGGTTATGAATTTCAGCACATAATATAGTTAATATTTCAGCTAGAAAAGTGTTTTACATTTTTATTATTATAAATGCTCTTATTTTATATTTATTAAACAAATTTAATTTGTATTTATTATTGTAATGATTAAAATGATTATTTTTAATTTGTATCTTAAATTATTCCTGTGAATTTAACAACTTTTTCATTTTTAATATAATTGTTAGTCAGTTATTTATTATTAATATTTTTGCATAATTTTATTTGATTGTAATTATTTTATATTTATTTATTTATTTTATAAATAGTTTATTATTACATATTTTTTTCCATTATTATTTCTTTGTTTATTGTAATTGTTATTTTTATTCTGCCCCAATTAAATTTTCTACTCTATTTGGAGCTGTTTAATTAATGGAATGTCGTAATGCTCATCTGCATTCTGATCTGCATTCCCTCAGCAATTACAACATATCCAAAAGTCTGCAGATGCCGCGACACGATGCTCTACTGTGGCAAAAGCGCCAAGCTGCGTCGATTTCCGCGCATCAGCGACGAGGTAACGTGTTTGTTCATCATATACAACAATTTGACACTGAAAGAGAATCTGTTTGCCAACTTGACGCGCCTGCAGAAACTGTAAGTGAGCAGCCTGAGCAGCCTGATCTGGGCTAATACTAATACTATATACACTGGTGTTATTTATCTGCAGCATACTCAAGTACAACAACATATCACGCCTGCCAGCGGGCTGCTTTAGCGGTCTGCCGCATCTGGAACGCCTCGAGGTGGGCCATAATAATTTTAGCCAATTGCCGCAAGGCATATTCAAGGATTTGCCGTCGCTGCAGTGGCTCTTCCTGGTCAACAATCAATTGCGATATTTTCCCATGGACCAGCTGGCTGCCATGCACAAGCTGGAGTGGCTCGTCCTGAGCCACAATCGTCTGACCCTGCGCAACGTTCAGCTGACCAAAAGTCCCAAACTGGTCGAAATGTAAGTACAAAGTTGATGCTGAGACTGGGAATGGAACTGCGACTTAATGCTTCAGCTATTTGTTAGATTAAAAAAAGGGCAAGCCATTGGATATGCCGGCCAGTGCCACGCCCACAAGGTTTTATGCTCTCACACACTCGCATTCAGTTGATGTATTCAAGCGTAAAATGCTTTACAGTGTCTGCGCCACAGTCTGTGACAGAACTTTTTGGCTGAGGCAATGGTGGGGCCTGGGGGGGCCATCAAGTGCAGTTGGGCATGTGCTGGGCTCCCCCATAGAGTGTATTTGGCAATGGGTGTAACAGTTATGTGCCATTACGATGTGCCATGGATGGCCATAATAACAATTTGCAGCGAGCCAAACATTTTACATTTAAAGCTGTCAAAGAAAAAGTTTACCAAGAAATTGAAGCTGAGGCGTGTGTATTATGCATATGTATTATGCTTATCAATAAGTGCGCTAATAGCTAACATAAATTGCTCGTAAGCAATTGGGCGCATCACTTTACAAAGCCTTTAAACACCATAAAGCGAGCACAATTTATAGCTTTGGTCAAAAAACCAGGCTTAACTAACTAAATAGCCTTCATATATCATTTGGTCAGGGGAGCGTAAAAAGATACAAGCAGACCTTGGCTTAGATACGGCAAACAAACAGTTAAATACTCCCACAAGAAAGATACAGCTAGCATTGCTCTTGACTCCAAATAAACCAGCAAAGGCATCTTGGAATAAATAAAAACGTTTATCCCCTAGAGATTTATAGAGTGTTTGAATAAAGAAACAACTGCATCAATGCTTAAAGAACATTCAATATATAAATATATTAACTAACTGCCAGATTTATATATTTTATATACATACATATCCATATATATATTTGACAGCTAAAATATATTATAAAGTTCTTTGGAGTTCCCTTCCTCCTTCGTTTCAATTAATTTCCTCTCTATTTTAATTGATATTACTTTATTGAATTCTCTTGCAGCTTCTTGGATAACAATCGCATCGAGTATATTGGCGAAAAAACGTTTGCGCAATTGGATAATTTGGAGCTGCTGTAAGTGAAAGGGAATACCCCAATGCGTTTATGCGTCAAGGCCGCGCCGTACTTTAAGGCGGCTTCATTACATTTTTCGTTTGTTTTGGTTACTTTTTTTTTTGGTGTTTTGGTTTAATGTCTAAAATGTAGCTTGCTCTGAACTCTTCACATAAAGTGTCGAAAACTCTATTGAAATATGTTGTACTTAGGTTTTATGGTGCGTATGCGTAATTTTTACTCTTGACTGCATTTTGCTTTCATTTCGTTTTCGGCTGCGCTATCATCGGCGCTGCTACAAGATTTATATGGGTCACATTTGCCTGGCAAGGCCCAGCAGCCTCACCCGTCACCCGCCTCACCCCCAGCCACTCCTACTCCAGTCCCTATTCGTAGTCAGCAGAATTGAATCAGCAGAGACGCTCAAGCAAATTACGCATACGCATAGTTGATGAAGTAGATATTTGGTATATGTTATTGAATTTGACACCTCAGACGCTTGAATTTATGTGCCAATAAGCATAAATTTCATTTTCAATTGTTTACATAGATCATATGCCCAAAGGCGAATATTTAAACATAAGTCGAGTCATGCAAATTGTGTGTGTGTGGGTGCGTTGGTGTTTCACTCATATCTCTAGCTGGGCGACAATTTGAAAACATTTATCAGGCATTTTCGTCGGCGCGTCGACTACACATAATCATTAATTTATGCATCAATAGCTGACAATATAAGTCAATGGGTCGTCTGGGCACCCGGCGCGTTGGTAAGTGAAAATAAATCAGCATCACAAATTGCTGCACGTAAATAAATGTGTGTTTGAGTAACTCTAACCGTGCCAGCCCACACCGCATGCCCCTGTCCGTTCTGTTCTCTGCAATACCCGAAACTGGCTTAAGCTGACGCACGCTGCGTATACGCAATATTTGTGGCGGCTCATCACTGAAGGCCTGCAAATGATTTGAAAAATAACCTAGACAAATTATAGCAGCGACAATTTGGGCGTATACTTAAGTGAGTGATAGAGTGTGATGTAGATAAATTATATATTTACCATAAAACAAGCTAGTTAACTGGATTAGCTAGATCCGCTGGGCTTAGCTTAATTTATGGAGTTAACTCTTAGAATTTACAGGGCAATATATTTATGGATATCTTGAGCTATGTAGATATTTGTTAGAACATTTTTAAAAGTTTTTTGTCACTGTAGTTTGCACAGCTAGTATTTCCAGTATACCTAAAATTATTTCTGTCATTCACATAAATTATTAATACTGCTTAATTCTTAACCAATTCATATATTCCACAGCGATCTACAGTACAACCTCATTACACACATACACGCGGAAGCCTTTGCCAATCTGAAAGCCATTCGAGATATGTGAGTATGAGCAATTATTAATAAATATGTATATTAAAAAGAGGCAGGAATGGCGTGCCACAGCTTTAATTAGCATTCAAAAATTTAACGCTTTGGGCAGGGTAAATAAACTCGTTTGGGTGCACACAAATCCAAAGCTGGAAATTCGCAGAGCTCTAAAAAAAAATTTACGCAAAATGAGCTGGAAACACAGAAAAAACGAGCAAAAATTAAAAAAGTGAAGAGATAAAACAATTTCTTACAAAGGAACATGAAAATTGTATTCCGCTCAATCCTTCAGCTGGCAAATATTGACTCAGTTTGATTTTATTTATTTGGGCAATTGATGCCTTCTTGTAATCGTTAATAGATCTATTTATAGTCATATCTATGACCGCATCGATCACTCGTTCCCTTTGGCATTTTATGATGCCTGCCACGCCTTCTAATTTGACTACTTATTGCATAAACCAAGTCGAGGCTTTATGGCCAACTCGTATAAAAGTAATATATGTGTTTGCATGTGCCAGCTCGAAACAAAAAACACAATCTATAAGCCAAAGTGTTGCAGTGGCTCATAAAAATGTTAATGGCTTTGACGAGAGCTCAGGCTCCAAAGCAAAAACCACATGGCGTATGCTTTACAGGGCGAGCTTAGCATAGATTCCAAATGTATAAATTACTACACAGATTTCATAAATCATTTCTTTCTTATTTTAATTGAATTTTGCTCATCAGCTAAATGCATTTTTAGCCAATATTAACATTAATAAAAATATTTGTATTTTTATATAGTACCTCGATTGCTGAAAACTTTATTATTTATTTAGTTTTACTTATTGGAAACTAAAAAAAAAAATGCATATATGTATGTATGCTTAAAATATATTCAATTTCTTCTTTTGAAAAAGCTTTAAAGAGTTATATACTACATATATATTTTTATATATTTATTGTACATATGAAACCAAGTATTTATTTTAGATACACAATGGGAAATAATGTAAATCTTAAAAGACTCTTTATACTCGCTTGTTTTTGTATCTTTATGTCTTCAGCTAAGTCAGAAAGCTGCTCAATTTATGAATTGAAATCAGTTGGAATTTTAGCTTTACAGCTTTAGCTATCTCATTTACTAATACAATGTTTTATACCCAAATATATACATATGTATATGTGTACTCATTGTCAAACATAAATATATCAATATCATATTTAATAAATGTGGTAGATCTACGCAAGTCTGTGGCGTTAATAAATTCACCAACTCAACTAACATATACATCAGCATCAGCATATCAATGCCAAGACAAACACACACACACACACACACATACATACACGAAGTGTCTGTTGTCACTTGACCAAAAATGTATAGATTTTGGCAAATGTATCTATAGCTTTTGTATCTTGGGACGGCAAATAAACAAACTGTATTATGGCCAAATAAAAATGCAAATAAATTTGTATTTTATGCGAAAACAATTTCAACAGAGCAGCAAAGCGTCTGATGTGAACATGAAGAGCATGAACTATATGAGCTTCAAGTCCCGCCCCTAGTCCTGGCTGTGCTGCCATAATGAAGGAGTTTATTGAAATTGGCGCTGTGTGCGGCCATTATTATCCCTAAAGTCAGTGTTGGCGGTGAGTGAAATCCTTTGCTAGCCTGTTGATGTGGCCACGCCCCCAAGGGCGTGTGCCTGTCTGTGTCTGTTTATTTGCATGCATATGATGCGCCTGCAAGCGTGCTCTGAATTTTTGAACAGTTGCTCGGCGTCAAGTTCATAAAACAAATGCGATTTTTTATGGCACAGCGCTTTGTATCCGACAGATACATGTGTTAGTGTCTGTATCAGTTACTGCGTGCGTCTTTCTCTAAATGCTGCTCACATTTGTGCTGACTTCTTGTTTCCTGTCCAGCTGGACATAAAAAATCGCTGCACTAATTTGATTTTTGCCATTTCCCCGAAAATTCGCACGAGCTGCTCATTTCTGCCCAAGCTGCGTGTACAGGGTGCCCTTGCTGATTGTCCCTTGTATACTTAAGCGCAATGACGTTAATTGCGGCCAACATGATTGTAATGCCCAAGCAAACAATCAAATCTCGCACGGGACTATTGCTACTCGAAGGGATTCGCAGCAGTACGTGCCATTTCCACTGATTGGCCTAATACCTTCATTTGAACTCCATGCCAGAAAAGGGTCTACCAACCCCAGACAGTTATTATTAATTGTATTTCGCTCGACTCAAATGACGCACAGCTTAGCTATCACACTAATCAAAGGCCTTTAGCATTTCAATATAAATAAATTGATTTCATAGAAATATATATACATATATCACCCTGGCATATATCACGTATATATACATATATCAACCTGAAATACCTAGTTTTTATTTGACATACTATATTAGGTTTGTTTTTTATAAAAGAATGAAAATATAAATAAATATAAATATAATTATAAATTGATGTAAATAACAGATTTATTATTATTATTTTTTGTAATTGTAATAAAAGCATTTTTTAAATTTTTTATTCATGTCCGCATTTCATTTAAGATGCATTTCATTTAAGATGCATTTAAACTAAATTTTTTTAGTTTATGTAAACAATTTTTTTATTATATTTTTATTATGATAGAATATTATTAAATAATATATCTGTTTTAATTTAAGTAGACTATTTAAATATATTTAAAAATTAAATTCAAGTCACCGAAAAATCTTACGAGCTCCTATATTACAGAAGTTTTATAATAATATATAAGTTTTATAATAATAATATAATAAATATAATAAAACAATTTGCTTTAAAATAATTTTGCATTAAATATCTAAAATGTTTAAAATTATCGAGAATAATTTTTTATTAAATATACCTATTTGAAATTAAATTAAAAATATATATTTTCGCTATAAAAGATGCAGGCATACTCCAATTTAATGCTAGTTGAAAAATAAAATAATAAAATAAAATTTATAAATATTTTATTATATTCTTCAGTCTTTAAATGCATGCTCATTGAATTTCTCTGTATTGTAGAGCATTCGTCGAATCGTTTGCCGCTTGACTTAAATGCTAAGCCGCAATTCGTGTTCTGCCATTGCAGTAATACAACTATGCGCATCTATTTGACATGTTGAAAGTTGGACATTGACCGACCAGATGCTCTGTGCGTGTGTGTGTGTGTGTGTGTGTGTATGGGTGTGTGTGTCTGTGGCTGTGCCTGTGGGTGGGTGTAAGTGCGCGTGTGGGCACTCTATTGACGCATTATGTTGCCTACTTTCGTGCGCAGGCAACCGCAGAGCGACAGACAAACACACACACACGGGTGTGTTTCATTTCATGCGTGTGTGTGTGTGTGTGTGTGTGTGCGTGTGCCTGTGCAACAGCAAAAGGCATTACTTGAGCTACTTATTTGTTGGTCAAATAGGGCTAGGGCATACTTATGCTTTAACAACTTGTTGGCCCCTCTTGCGAAATATGTTAATTGCCGTCTGCAATTGCCGAAAGGCCCACAACAGCTGTCCCCAAAAAAACGTTTTGTTGTCAGTTATTAAGTAGCACATTTAATGCTCGGACAACCAAGGCACAAAGCCTGGCATTAAATGTCGCACAATTTACATAAAATTGCTGGACAGGCATCCATCGAGCTGACGGAGTCGAGCAAGGGCGGCCGCATTATCAAAAAGCAATTTATGCTACAAGTAAAACATTTACTTTATGGTTAAGCTAGTGCCAACAGCATCGTATTCCACTCCCCTTCCAGCTGCCTCCTCCAGCGTGCAATGCAACTTTATAGCTGGCCAGCAATTACTAGCTAAAGGGAGTTGCTCGAGCAGAGACTGGGCAATGGGGATGGGATATAGCATTGTCTATGTGCGGCAAGCTATAAAAACAAAGTGTTTTCAGTTGACGCCGGCATTGATTGACCAGACAAGTGCAGCGAATGGAGCTAAATAGCATCAGCATCAGCTGCTGCACTTCACAGACGCAGAGGGCAAGTGGGTAGCCGGGGAGAGATCGAAAAACTACAGCTGGAGCCAGCAAGGATGTGGACAACGTCTGCTGGCTGTCATGAATGATGCGCTTTTCCTGTGACTGAGCAACAGGCCCCAAACCCCAAGAGAAACTATAGCTGTGTGCAGTAATTTATAGCACACATTGCGATAGAGATGGAGATAGATAGACAGAGAGAGAGAGAGAGAGTGAGTGAGAGGGGGAGAGCGTGTGGGAATCACAGCTATTAAATAAGAATTTCGTTATTATGTCGCACTTTTGTTATTTTCGTGTCGTTTATTTCTTGGCGACTTTTAAAGTTAGCTGTAAAAAGAAAACGTTCTTACAAAGATCTACCGCACCACCTTAAATAATATAACTAAATGCACGCATGTAAGCCGGCAGTTGAAAGCGTCATCAAATGCGGTCCTCTGTTTGCTTTTATCAGCTTAAAATATTTGTGTGTGTGTGCCTATTATTTGGCTTATGCGGCGTATACGCAATATTATTCCACTTTGTCTATGAGACGCACCATTTCATGCATTCGTCTGTTTCTCTGTTTTACAGCCGCCTCATTGGCAATCCCATTAAGGAATTATCTGGCGAAACATTTATGCACAACACACACCTGGAGGCACTGTAAGTAAAGAGAAATGCTTTGGGCTATAGTCGGGGAGCAGACGCACACGCCATTTGGGGTTAAGAATTAACTTGGATTTATGTTGTGAATATGATATAAGTAGAGCCTTAAGTATTTCTAAGGGAATCAAAACGCAGCCTTGGACTTTAAGGAACTTGATACTTGAGAATTTTTTTAATATTAATAAAAATATGTAGTTTATAAATATTAAATATTAAAGCTGAAATAAAAAAAATATATTTACAAAATTTAATAATATTTACAGCAAATATAATATTTGTAGCAAAATTGTATATATATTAAAATATTAAAATTAATATAATTATTTTCCTTTCCATTTTCTTGCTTAAACAGCTCCCTGGCTTACATGCCGCTGCACATTGATCGGAATTTGATTGATGCGCTCAACGTTTCCTTTTTGAATCTGACCGGCATCGAGTTCGAGCGCATTGACTTTGATGCACTCAACCGGATGCGCAGTCTGAAGTACATAGTGTTTGATCGCTTCTACTATTGCTCCATGACGCCGAATGTGCTGATGTGTAAGCCCAAAACGGATGGCGTCAGTTCGTTTAAGGATCTGCTAAGCAAGCCCCTGCTGCGCCACTCCACCTGGTTCATGGCAGCGCTCTCCATAGCGGGCAACCTGATGGTGCTCTATGGTCGATTCATCTACCGCGATGAGAATGTGGCCGTGACCATGGTGATCAGGAATCTAGCGCTAGCAGATATGCTCATGGGCTTCTATCTGCTCATACTGGGAGTGCAGGATTATCGCTACCGAGATGAATATCATATGTATGTGACCGGTTCTTCTTTATATGTATGTACTATAGTTCGAAAATCTCTTTTTAGGGTGGCCCGCAATTGGCTAAAGTCGTGGCAGTGCAAGGCAATTGGAACGCTGGCTGTTAGCTCCTCAGAGGTATCCATGCTAATCTTGGCCTTCATGTCGCTGGAACGTTTCCTGCTCATAGCGGATCCTTTTCGCGGACATCGCGCGATCAGCGTGCGCATCATTTACTTCTCGCTGCTATGCATTTGGGTTACTGGTGTGGGTCTAGCGGTCACGCCCCTTGTCATCTGGTACTCCAGCAATCAGCTCTACGGCACTCACTCTGGCACCTGCTTCCCACTGTTCATACACGAGGCATATCCCCTGGGCTGGCAGTACTCGGCGTTTGTCTTTCTTGGCGTTAATTTGCTGCTCCTGCTGATGATTGCATTACTGTATACGGCCCTTTTGATCTCTATTTGGCGTACTCGCAGTGCCACGCCCCTTTCACTGCTGGACTGTGAATTTGCTGTGCGTTTCTTTTTCATTGTGCTAACCGATGTGCTGTGCTGGGCACCGATTATAGCGATGAAGATCTGGGTGTTCTTCGAGTACACCATTTCCGATGATATCTACGCTTGGCTGGTCGTCTTCATATTGCCCCTCAATTCGGCTGTCAATCCGCTGCTCTATACGTTTACGACGCCCAAGTATCGCAATCAAATCCTGTTGCGCGGCTGGAAGAAGATAACGTCACGCAAGCGGATGGAGACGGGGCATGGCAACGTGGCCAACACAACCACGGGCACTGCGACGGGCTCCTCGCAGAATCCAGATGAATATACAACAACCACAGGCATAAAGTCAATGCCGTTGGCTCTGACGCTGAGCCACTGAATGGCCAATATTTTGATAGTTAATGATGTCTATACTCTAATCATATATATAGTATATATACATATGTATCTATATGTCTACATGTGCAACCAAGTCATTGTTAACTAACTCAACAAAATCGTGAAATACATTGAATGTGATATTTGTAAGAAAAGTGACTCAACGACTCTTTAACTGCCAGGCATGAGAAGAATTTAATCATTACTTTTTAATTGCCTTTAGCTGTCATTAGTTACAGCATCAATCAGCTTCTGTTCTCCCTCTTCCTGCTGCTGCTGCTGCTGATGCTGTGTTGCATCGAGCTTGGCCAGAACACGCTTTGAGCGCATTATATGAAACTTGCGCATGGTCTCTAGTTGCGCCAGTGTCAGTTGCATGTTGTGTTTGCGTTGTGCGTGCAGTCGTAATCTGCATTAAAGGAGGAGAGATTAAAATTGGTTAGATGCACAGGCAGGAATTACATAGTCAAATGAGACTTGTACTAACTTGTAACGAGCCGGAAATCCTTGCTGGCAGACGTTGCACTCGAAGGGCATTTCGGTGTGAGTGCACTCGTGATTACGCAGCGCCGATGACGAGGTAAATAATTTGTCACAGCCAGCAAATTCGCACTGGAAACGTGCGCTGCTGTGCCGCACCTGCTGATGGATATTCAGGTGGGAGCGCTGCGCAAATTTGCGATCGCACTGATCACAGTCGAAGGGGAAGAAGCCATTGTGATAGCGCATGTGTATTTCAAGACCTTTGGCTATAGCAAACACTTTGCCACAGATACCGCACATCTGGCCGGACTTCTTGTGCTGCGTGTCCACATGAACTTTTAGCGCCTGCTTGGTGAGATAGAAGCGATTGCAGGTGTTGCACTGGAAGTGCGGACGATCCGAGAGATGTATCAGCTGATGCTTCAACATATGTGAATGATTCCGAAATGTTTTCTGGCAGAATTCACAGTTAAATGGACCCGAATATCGTTGACGGGGTATAACATCATTGACACTAGTGCAAACTATAGTTGGGGCAGAGTCTACAGTATCAATTTCACTGGCTGTTTGCTCTACTGGCTCTTCCAGTTCCACTTCAGTAAAGGTATCCTCTTCTACAGGAATTACATGTACCAATTCATCTTTGTCATCCTCATCGATCTGTTCTACATCTTCGGTCTCGCTATGTACAATAGATTGCATGTTTTGCAGCTGCTTGTTGGCCTGTGAAGCCTTTTTATGGAAGTCATATGCCCATTGTAGCTCTACGCCGCAGTGCTTGCATAATGTGTGGGGCTCATGCTCGCTGCATTCTCGCAGATTATCTCTTGTGCATATTTCATAGCAATCATAGTATGTAAGCTGAGCTTCCTCATCATATATCAGATTCATATCTAGCAACTGGGCACGATGCGGCTGCTCAAGGCAAATGCGACAGCAGTTGCGTAAATCTTCAATTACAATTTCAGCAATAGAGACAGGCATTCCGATTTTAAACTCAATCAACTACGCGGGATTTTTATTGAAATTATAAACAAACTTTGCGGCAAAGGAGACCAAACACAGCACAATTAGCGATGGGTCAAGAGAAAACCTACAGAAATATTGAAAAGTTAATATCGATAGGTTGATATCGAATTATATCCGCTGCAAATCATTGCATGAAGGAAAACGAAAGAAACGACTAACTGGGAAATATATTAGACATAACATAAATTAAAAAATTAATCACTATAAGCAAATGGTGTTTAATATTTGTCAAAAATTAGACGTGAGTTTAAAGACCATCACTGCCGTTGCTCACTAACGATAACCCGTAAAGAACAGTTTTTATTTATGGTAACACTGGCACCGGCTTATGTTTTGGCAGTCAATCGGCGATTTAAATCCTCGTTCAGCCTTCCAAGAACCATTATGGATGTTGAGCCTATTACAACTGTAAGCCCTGACTTGGAACATCCAGACGATGCCCAATACATATGGTTACCCATTTTGGTATTGGTGGGAGTAGTTTTGCTCGCTGGTTTGGTAAAGCTCATTTTAACTTTGTTATCTCTCATGTTATTTGTACAACTGCGTTTTCCTTATTTGCATATGCGATACAACCTACTACTTGAAGGTATATGTCATGTCACGTAGCCGCCGTTCATTCAATTTTATATGCTTCAAGCGCCGTAATGCCACCCGCAATGGCTACACAAATGTTGACGACGACGACTCAGATGTATCCATGGCTGGGGCAGACGGTCCAAATGCAATTACCAGTCTGCTCGATTCACGCTTGCATATAGAACCTGTAAGTAACTAATTAACTAATTACCTTTACCTTATACATTAACAATGTACATATATGTATGTAGGTGCCGCTTACAGGCAGCCGTGCCCAATCAAATCAAGCATATCTGGATGCAAATGATATTGCGTTGCGTGTCTAATTAAGTACCAAAATTTCGAAATGCAGTAGTAAGAAAGACTAAACTCTAGCTTATATTAGAGTATAAACTTTTATTTTATTGTCTATGTTATCTGTTTACCTTTGATATCAGCTTAAAATTACGTCTAAACGTTCCACAGACTTTGTACATTCACTAAAAAATATGTGCCTAGTTAAGCTGTTAATCAGCAGCATTTGCAGCGCTCAATAAACGCGTTGTTAGATCGTAAAAGCCAAAGAAAAACGCACCGCCCAATGTTATCCACAGAACTCGAGGTACAATGCCGGCAAACAAACTGGAATATAATATATAAGAATAAATATTTATATTATGTCAGTAAATGTAAACCCATTTTATTTACCCGCCTATGCCGCGTTCTTTATAAATGCCATGCAGTACAGCCGGTATGCTACGACGTCGCAACAGGCTTTCTCGATCTGCAAGCATTATTCTCGTTTTGACAACATCCAGTGGCGTTGTTAGGCCAGCCGCAATGCCGCCCGCAACGGCGCCACAGAGAGCAACCGTGAAGGGTGACGAATCAAAGCCAGTCACTGGCGTCCATTGCAGCTTAAAGTATTCCCACAACGGAAACTGTATCAAGCTGAACGGAATTTCACGCATAATCGTCGACCCAAATCCACGATAGAGACCACGACGCAAGCCCTCAGTGCGGTAGGCGCGCATTAGGATCTGCAACGCAGTCTGATGTTGTTTGTGGCCCAAAAGTGTTTGTGAGCGTTGCTTGGCAATTTCGACAGGTACACGAATGAGGCAGGCGAGCTATGTATATCACAAGGTTTTTTATGAGTATAAAAAAGGTTTCTTCCTAACCCTTAGCTACTCACAACTTCGGCGCTGGACGCAGCTGTCATATGCACATAAGGTGAATCTTTGGTATTGCTCGCATAGCTCAGCAGCTGTTTACCACATTCGTAGGCACAGAAGAATAGAGCAGCAGTAGGTGCGCTGCCAGCAGCCGCTGGGGCCAATCCTTTGTAAATGCCGCGGAACCCACCGGAGCGCCAGAAGCCCAACTCACTTTGTAGGCGTGTCTTAACCGTATCAATGGGAAACAGTGCTATGTCCACCACGAAACCTGCCACGCCGCCAGCCTAAAAAAGTTAATACCAGCACATGTACATGGGAAATTGCATTTTAATTGCACAGTTGAAAACTTACGACGAGCGCGTGTAAGAATGTGATCTTTGAGACCGGCTCCTGCATATCGATTTGCGCCGGAAGTGCGGCGGGCCCTAGTTCCACAGCCATTTGCAACTACAATGTCTATGAATTGCTTATCCTATGACCACATGCTGTAGCTAAGTTGTTTTAATTCAAAAACAAACTCTAAATGCGTGTGGTTGTTAACGTAACAGCAATTTGAAGAAATAATATGGCCCCACACCGACGACTTTATACTCTACGAGATACATAGTGTCTGAATTTATAAAAGTCACGATAGCAAATAGAGAATGAATGTTTGTTTTAGCAAAAAGTAGACTTTTATATTTTCGAGCTGAAAATTTAAATAAATTATTTGAATTTTACAAATTTACCTAAGAAGCGAATATTCTAGTTGCAAACCTAATGAGAAGAATACAATTCCCTAATGCTTTAAGATTTATGACGTCACGGCTGTATGCCAGTGCTGCCATTCGATAGCTTTTTTGTTTACACATCGATATTTTTAATTTTGTGTCTTATCGGAAACAATATCGCTTGATAAACATATGATTTTACGTTTTGGCCGTGGCTACAGAAATCAAATAAGAAAAGGGTTGATCAGCTTTGTAAGGGGCACTTGGAAAATATTATAACGAAACATGGCTATTCGATTAACTCAGAAACTGCTGCAAGCCCAGGTGCCCTTCCTAACACGAGTAAGTTAGAAAGAAAATTAGATACATAGTTGGCCAACTGAGCGGTTGGCAATTGAAAATTACATAATGCATTGCGTCTAGAGGATGGATAAAAAGTCAAAGATAAATTTCACTTAATATGTGATTTATAGGGATATCCCCTGCTGGTGACCAAGGAAAAAACTGAAGACGTGGCACACACCAAATCGGCTTTGCAAAAGAAAGTAACGGTACGTTTTTGAGGTTATACAAATAGTGTATATGTATTAGTAAATGCATCTGGTGCTGCTTCTCCTATAGGACACGGATATACCCTCGGCGCAATATGGTGGCCGTCATGGGGTCACTATGCTTCCCGGTGGTGGCATCGGACCCGAATTGATGGGCTATGTCCGCGAGATCTTCAGATATTGTGGTGCTCCCATTGATTTTGAGGTAATCGACATTGATCCCTCCACCGAGGGCAATGATGATCTGGAATATGCGATTACCTCCATCAAACGTAATGGCGTGGCACTCAAGGGTAACATTGAGACAAAATCGCAAAGCTTAAGCGAAGTCTCCCGCAATGTGGCAATCCGCAATGAGCTTGATCTCTACGTGAATGTGGTGCACTGCAAGTCATATCCAGGCATTCCTGCGCGCCACAAGGACGTCGATATTGTGCTCATCCGCCAGAACACGGATGGTGAGTATGCCATGTTGGAGCATGAGTCTGTGCGCGGCGTTGTGGAGAGCATGAAGGTGGTTACTGTGGACAATGCCGAGCGTGTGGCACGCTATGCTTTCGAATATGCGCGCCAGAACAATCGCAAACGCGTGACGACCATCCACAAGGCAAACATCATGAAGCTGTCGGACGGTCTGTTCCTGGAAGTAGCTAATCGTGTGCACAAGGACTATCCCGAACTCGAGCATAACAACATGATTATTGACAACACTTGCATGCAGGCCGTGTCGAATCCCCACCAGTTTGATGTCATGAATATGACAAACTTGTATGGCACAATTGTGTCGAACGTAATTTGTGGACTGATTGGCGGCGCTGGCCTCATCTCTGGACGCAACTATGGCGACCACGTGAGCTACCTATATATACAGTAGTATAGTTATGGATTCGGTACAAATTTGATTTGATTTTAGTATGCTGTCTTTGAGCCTGGCACCCGTAACACAGGCACTGCCATTGCCGGCAAGAATATAGCCAATCCCGTGGCCATGATCAATGCCAGCATTGATATGTTGAATCATTTGGGTCACAAGGAGCATGCGCAGGTTATCTATGACGCTACCTACCAGACGATTGTCAACGATGCTATTCGCACGCCAGGTCTGTTGAGCATGTGTAAACATGAGTTCCCCTTTAGACGCAGATGTAGATTTTCATTATTAATACATTTATATTTGTTTACGTTGTTTTCTTGTAGATCTCGGCGGCAATCACAGCAGCACCGATGTGGTTGAAAACATTCTCAAGATCTTGAGTGCCAAGCGTGTGAATTGGTAAAATAATTGACTTGCATTAAATATTTAAGCATATTTGTTTTTGAAAATGCGAGTGATGCTCGTTTCCGTTGGCGTTATTTTATTGCTGTATTTAGTTTTATAGCGAGTATACATAACATATTTGTGTACCATCTTTTCGCTTGTCCTCTGTACTTCACTGTTACACAGTCTGTCAATATTTTATTTGGTATTATTTAAGTATTCTGTGCTCTTCTGTATTATTTTTCCCCACTTCAACTTGAACAGAACTGTAAGTGTTATAAATAAGTTTGCTACCCGTTCCTGTTAAAACTGTTATAATCCTAATTTGTGCCTAACCCCAAAACAAAAACACACCTAAAATTGACTAATCTCTTAACAACTTTTTTTTTTGTTTAATCCTGATTTTTTTTATTTTTTTTCTGAACCTATTGTAAGTAGTTCTTCCCGTAGTGCCCACAACACATAAACACACACACACACACCCCACTGAAACACTCTCCGTCAACAATATTGTTTTTCCTCTCTGTATATCAAGAAGTATTATGTACAAATCTAACCGACATATTTACATCTATTTTTCTACTCCCCAAACAAACAAAATATCCATGCTTAACCGTTCCACAGGCCACATGGGAACTTTTTCAACCAGTCTTAGGTACCCTATCCGAAAACGCAAGCCAAAGCCCTATTAAACAGCAATAATAATAAAACAAAAAATAAAATAAAATCTTATAATAAATTTTAACACAAATTAAATTAAATTAACCACAACTAAGCCAATCAGAACCAACAACAATTGTTATAAATTATTTCATCTTCAAAGCCAATGCATAACGCGTTTATTGTGATGTCAATAGATATTGTTAGAAGCTACCCATTTATTTATTTAATGTGGTCAAAACATTATCGCTGCTTTACCAATTATAAACAAAGAAATAAATCTCCCCGCCCCGGCTATGTGTTATGTGTTCTGTGCACCTCCGATGCTCAAAGTGTTATACTGCAGGTAATATGCATTTTGTTTGAGATATATTCTTAAATATAAGTGAGTCTATTTTATCTGAAAGTCTCTAATTCTTCTTGTTTCTTCTATTCCACAGAGCTTCTTTCGACTCATTAATGCTTTGAACTACTTTGACTCTTTTAAACTTTGTTGACCCAATTTGGCAAGAGCACACTCCTTAAGCGAAAAGAAAACTACAGCAAAAAACTCCCTTCTGCAATATTGTCAAGTTTGAAAAGTGTACAGTGAAACCATAGAATTGTATATTATAGACACAACTATAAGAAGATTAAATTAAATTCAAGCAAAATGTATTATTCTGTTCGAATATTTATTAAAAAATTGAAAAAAGTCTATCATAGTGTGTTTTCATTGTGAACCAGCTGGAGAAAGGTGTGCTACACCAATAAAAAAATCAGATATGCGCAGCTAAATTTATGCGTTCGACGAACAAGGGTTAAGAACAAGAGTCAAAATATTTATTAGCAAAGGAAAGCGTTGAGCGTATTGAAGGCAAACCGATTTTTCTTTCAGTCTGTACCGACTTTCGGAGGTAATCATAAGCTTTGCTAATTAAGTAGAGGATTAACATATAAATCCCTGTCCGATAATCAATACTATGCCATAGACGACTGGCAAACGTGGGTTAGCAAAATGCTTCCTAGATTTACCAAATCCATAGCTTCAACAAGCAATGGGTAATATCGGATAATAATACAAACACATTAAGAATTGATAGTTTCGGTCACTTTACATCAGAATTTAGTGTTTTTATTTAACCTTAAAAAAACGACGACAAATAAATCAAGAGACCTCCACATAGGCAGTTGCCCCGCTTAGAATCGCAGCTTCTGGAAGAACCACTTGTTCTTGCCCTCCTTGTACACCGACTCGAATTTAACGCGAGTTTGGAAACGATGCGTCTTGCGCTTGACGGGATCTTTCAGGTCCTTGGGCGACAATTTTTCAAAGCTGATGTCGTGCGCTGTGTAGCGGGTGGGCATCAGATGATTGTAGTTCAGGCTCTTCAGGAAAGGCTTGATCTTGGACTTCTTCTTCAACTTGTTCTTGCCCATCTTCTTGGTCACCTTGCGAGGGTACCTGTCGATGCCGGCAACAAGCGCGTGACCGAAGGGCTTCTCCGGCGTGCCATCATCGGAAGTCTTCACAATGATAGCCTTACGGCCGGCGTAACGTCCACTAAGGACGATTACGATCTTGCCCTGTTTCATAATTTTCCTCATCTTGGCGGCTGTGCGAGTTTAAAAAGACCCAATCCATTATTTGTTGATAGATAGCAGGCAGCGACGTCGACGGCAGCAGCGAGCGTGCATGTAATGTAAATATGAGAGAAATGCAAAGAATTAGCACAAAATCACTTATTCGTCCTCAATTACGCTTTCAATTATATATTGTTCAATTATTTGCACTATCATATGATTTTTACAAAAATTTTGTACGAGACTATTTTGTTTTGATTTGCAGCTTTGGCTATTATTTTTGATAAATAACTATCGAACATTTAGCAATATTGGTATGTTGACATAATATACACAATCATCAGTCTTTTAGCTTTGTTTATATTTGGCGTTGTTTGGCAAAACCACTAAATTTAAACGATTTTATTTTAAGTATAAATTTTACGCGAACTTACAGGTCTGTTCGCTGACCGGAAAAGAAAGAAAGAAATGACAGCTACTTTGACAGCTGGCAGCACCGCCGGCGCTGCCACACTGGTCGCAAGTATTATTGGCAACGATCTGGTAGCACTAAAAAAACGCGGGAAAGTATGCCCAACAGTTGGTAAACAGTTGACAAATTCGAAGGATTAATCCATTTTAGAAAATGTTATTTAAAAATGTACACCGATTTTTTAAGGTGTAGTAAATTATTTATTATATTTTTACAAAAACAGAACATATATAAAACTTAACCTAAAACAAAGCCTTAATCAAAGTATTCTCGTATAATTAAACATTTGCAATATTTATCCGGATAGATATAGTATAAATATATATAGTACAAAAGTTGGTAGCGTACAATTAATTACGATAGACCATTATGACGCTAACCTTATCCAAGCGGTTTTTAATGTCATAGCGACTACCTGAAAGAGAAATGTTTGAGGCAATGTTATTAAATATATTTTGTGTGGTTTACGATTGACTGAAACAAAATTGAAAACGTTAAGTGCTCACCTTTTTTAATTTCTATGGTGTCGCCCGTGTACAATATATCATGGCAGGTTTCCTTTGACTCCGGGCTTACTATCTCAAATTCAAAATTGCCATGAAGGGCCACAAAACGCTAAGGTTAAAAACAATGTTTGAATATGTTTATACATTATATAAATATATTATGACGAACCAATGTGTTGGTCTTGGCGCGCTTCATTCCCCGCTGCTGCAGTGGCTGGAAGCGCATGTAGCCCATAGAGTACCGATCCTCAGTGTGATAAAAGGCATACTCGATCCCATCAATGTTTGAGAAGTGCAGATTGGCTGCTCGTGCTGCAAGCAAAAGATGAAAATTTACAAAATAGTTCTGTATATATAAACGATAGTTTGTTAGATGGAGAACTCACAGACAGCCATGGAATCAGTCTTTGTCTCGCTGACATCGGAATTATCTGGTGGCAGATCGCGTGCACCGCATAACCAGGACATTAGCGTTTCCGATGAAGGCTCGTGCGACTCATTAGGAAGTGAAGAAGCGCCTGCCTGGTCAGGTATCGGCATCGCGACTTCGGTGTGCTCCTCCGCTATTTGTTCAACTGCAGTTGCAGCTGCCGGTTTCTTTTTCTTCTTTTCTTTAGCCTTTGTTTCTTTGTTTGGCTCAGTATTGTCGGCCGGCGTCTTTTTCTTACGTCCTTGTTTTTTGGGCACAGCCGCTGGTTCAACTACATTAATTACCGCCTCCATCTCTGGCTCAGCGGGCTCGTCCTCCTCTGTTATGTAGTTTAGTCTAGTGATGTCTGAAATTGCGACGGAAGTGTTGAACACATTGTCCTGATTTTTCTCCTGATGCGGTTGCTGCTGTTTCGTGCGTTTGTTGTTACTAGGAGCAGCTGTACTACGCGGCGTGCTGGCAGACAGCGGTGGTTTGTTTATCATGGAACAGCCTCCATCAGCTGTTGAAGCTGTTCGCTTTTTGGGCTTCTTGGTCGAGGACTTCTTTGGTGGCTCCATCATCTTGCGCATAAACTGGAAGGGATCGCTAACGCTGTGCACCCAGGTATTGCACAGCGGCACCTGACCACGCCTGGAGCGACGAACCCCAGCTAAAGAAATTGAGTATGCATTAATGAATTGTCCTGGTCATTTGCCAGTAGTTTACTTACTCGAGTTGGCATCGTCATCCCGCTCATCCGGCGGAAGCGTCGCGTCACCCACCGTAATGCGCAGCTGTTTCTCCAACCGACTCTTTTTGGTTGCTTTGCTTCGTGGCGCTGGAGCTGTTGGCTTCTTGAATACATCTTCTGGCGGTGCTGGCTCTGGTAGCTGCGTGGGCTCGTCGTGATTTATCTCCTGCTGCTCCGGCTGTGGGTTTTCCTTCGACATTTGATCTTTCACTTTCCGCTTGATCTGCTTCGACGGCTCTTTTTCCTGTCGCACTTTTTCGTTTTCCAGTTCCTCCTCCTCTTCTCTTCGCTGTTGCTCCTCCCTTTGTTTTTCTTCCTCTTGTTGCCTGTGTTCTTCCAGCTGTTTTTTCTGCTGCTCTCTGGCTTCATTCTCTTGCTCATTTGCTTTCTTTTTCTTTTCCTGCATTGCCATCAGCTCTCTTTGCTGCCTTTCATTCTCCTTTTCTAGGTTTTTCTTTGTTTCGTTCTCCATTTGCAGTTTCTCCCGCAACTCTCTCTCCTGTTGCTCCTTCTTCTTTTGCTTTCCACCCTTCCCTTGCTGATTCTCCTCGGAGTCTTTTCCTTGTTCTATCTGTGGCTGTAGCTCTGACTTTTTCAGTTGTCTGCTAGTTGTCAGACTCATAGACCTTTGTGCGAATGACCTTCTGCTTGACTGCTCATTAGCTGCAATCTCTTGAATATAAACGTCTTCCACCATTGAATGGATCTGCTGTGTCTCATTGACGAATTCGGCCGGTGGCAAGAGTTGTTGCTCTTGCTCCTGATTCTCCTCATCTATATCCGTTTCGGCATTGTCACTAAAATGGTATGGAGGTGGTACAGGCTCCACTAGCTGCGACTGCCGTTTTTCCCTCTGTCTGGACCTGGATTTGCGAAATTGTGGGGGTGGCGTGCACACAGTCAGCAATTCATCCTCGCTCTGTTGATACAAATGTTATTCAAATATCATTGTAGTATTTTTTGATTTAGCACCTACCATTGGCGGGTCATGACGTCTGGAACGCAATCGTCGGGTCTTCTGCTGCGGCGGTATAGAACTGTCCCTGAAGTCAGCAGGAGGGGCCGCTGGCGACATGTATGGTAGTTCAAAGGTTTGCTGCAAGTGAAGGATGCGAGTTTAAATAATAATTTTATTAAGAAATTAATGCCTTACCCTGAGGGTTTCACGCCTCTTATTATGGGAGCGCTGTGCCTGCAGCACACTAGTCTCTTGACGTTCCAATGTGTCTCTAAAGTTCATTGGTGGTATCGCTGGCGATTGCATTAAAGACACTGCAGGCAATGTTTCATCCTGGGACATCGGTGCAGTTGTGAGGAGTGCGCCCTGCTCGCTTTGCTCTTCCAGATTGCGCCGCAATATTTCCCATTCAATGTGCTGATCCAGCAGCATCTGCTGCTTCTCTTGCTCTGTAGCCTGCTGTCGATGACCATTCACTGGACGGTGTCTGCCCAAGGAGTTCCGCTTGCGCAAATCTAAGATCTCGTAGTTGCTCATGCGTGCCAGCTCGTAAGCAAATTGCTCGCCATTTATAGCCGGCTGGGAGGGCTTGTTAAGCACCGTTTGGCGTGGCTTGCGTTGCTCGCGTTTGCGTGAATTGCTTGAGCGGGACTGATGTAGATCAAGCAGCTGCATAGAGTTCTCCACGCGTTGCACACGACTGCGTAAGCTACGTTGCCTGTTGTTGTTGCCAGTGGCTGCTGCCAGATTTAAGGGTACTCGACTTGACTGCCGCTCTTCTTCGCTATCATCGTCCGTCATGATGTCCTCTAACTTCTGCACAGCAACCGGGCTGTAAGAGGTCTGCATGCTGCGATTGGCCACCGTAGTACTTGGAGTCGGTTTCACTTGAACTGCGGCATCCACTGGTGTAGCAGCTGGTATTCCACTAGCTGCCTGAGCATTAGCTGGCTGAGCATTAGCTGCGAGCATCGAGCTTATGGGTACAACCATAAAGGGTGCCACCAAAGCGTTGTTGGACAAATTGTGTAGTATTGGCTGAGGTTGTGTTTCGGGCACTATATATTCTGGATTTGGTAGTGTGTGAGATAAAGCACGCGCCGGTGTATCAGGAGCTAAGATCTTCAGACGGGCTGCCGACAGTTCAGCTTGTTCTCTGTATTGTGCAAGGCGACTTCGTGTCTGTCTCAGTGATGCATTCGATATGGATAAGTCTTGGGCGCCCTTTATCGACGGAGACAACAGCAGCTGCCCAGGCTCGGGGCCCATTTCAATGGTATAGGTGCGTCGCTTATTGCAATCCGACGACGATGAACGCTGGGTTGATAGCCTCACAGAGTGATTGGATGCTTGTGATAGTTGCTCATCGCGTTGTTCCTTTTGAAGCTTTTCTTGGGGCGACTCTGCTGGCTTGGCTGTGTCTTTCTTCTCAGATGCTGGCGTGCTGCTCACTGGCGGTTCCTGTTAGGGTAAATGAATTAGCTGGTTACCTCTCAAGTTATAAGGAGTTACATTGGAACTTACGAAATTTGAACTGATCTTCGACAAATTATTGAATTCATTAAGCAAATCACGACGACCACAGCTGCGTGATCGTCTTTGTATGGCCACACGACGTAAACGATCGGAGCCAGCTACATGAATCCCGCTGCGTCGCGGTAGGGATCTGCGCGGTGACGTTAGACAAATACCAGATGCCGAGGCATTGGACGCTGGACATCCATCGGTACGGGCAGGCGATGTAGATCGACACTCTTGTGTGTTTGAAACAATTGGAGGTACTATTTCCCTATTGTGGTCATTTGGGGCTGAGGTTTGGTTAGTTATCTCACGTAATGGGTGCTCTTTATGTTCAGCTGATATCGCATCTTTTGGAGATGCTGGTTGCTGCTTTGGTGGTAGTTTTATCAAATCAACATCAAAGTCAAAGGACAAATCCGCATCGCACATTAGTAAAGGTCCATTGTTAGCCGGTTTTGGTGCTGTCTTAAGCTTAAGAAACGCAGTCAGCCGATCCGCGTAGGTTTCGCTCTCGTTCAAAATGTCCTCAAGTTCGCGCATTGTATTATCACTGACCTTAGGCCTAAAAACAAATAAACATATAACTTTTTCATTTTCATTATAAAGTAGCATGTTTCATTTAACTCACATTTTAATGTTTTTTCTATTGTAAGTGTATGTAAATATGTCTTAGTTTATTTTCCCTTCTGCGTTTTTAAAGACTCGGCTGCCTACAACAAAATGATGCGCGCTGTTCAGAAATGTCGTTGTGCAACACTGAAAACGGTTGAAAGTATTTCGGTTCAATATTTCGATAATAGTGCTGACGTTCGTACAGCTATGTTTCTCTAAAGTTTCTTTAAGATGAGCCTGAACTTTGCAATTATTTCAAAAATGGATTTACACTAAAAATAAATAATCTTATGAGAGAGGGTGTCTGTACTGAAATACTAGCAACTGTAGTTACTGATTGTAAATATTGCACTCAACGATACGGCAGCACCACGCATAAGGCCACGCGTTCGCTATGCGTAACAGTTGAACAACAGCTGAGTAGTTTAAATCAATGCAATATTGATAACAAAATATATAATTTTATTAATAGCTATGTTTACAAAATGACTATATACTAATCATTGCAACTAATGTTCCATTACTTGCGTTTTTTTTCTTTTTTTGATTTTTTGTAGTTTTCATAACAGAAATGCTCAGTTCTACGTCTTCTTTTTTATAATTTTAAAAGTATTCCGTCGATTAATGACATAGCTGAGGGCAGCGGCGATTGTAGTTACGCCTGTTAAATACCAAAGTCCATGCAAGGCTGGATGGTCTGTTAAAGTAAAATATTAGAATAATAACTGAATAAACCAGAATTTGATGTATCACCCTACCTATATAATTCCATATAGGTGCGCCCAGACTAATACCAATTGTGGCTAGCTGTACACCTGTGTTTACCTTGCTTATGAATGTAGGCTCCAATTGGGCAGTCACATGGGTGGCATCAAAGTATCGCGAAAACGTTTTCTGCAAAAGAACATTTGGTTTTGAGTTTTAGAGATAAGGCTACAAAAGTATACATATACTTACTGGTGGTGGAAGACTAATATAGCGTATAACAAAGCCAGCGGCAATTAGGAACACATCACGAAATACAACAACACCAGTCAGCCACATGGGCAATAGTTCGCTGTAGCACAACGATATGACCAATGATCCCATTAGCAGCTTGTCGGCCATGGGATCCAAAAAGGAGCCAGCCTTGCTAGCTTGCGACGGCCAGCGACGCGCAATCTGACCATCGAGCTGAGAAATATATGGGTAAACTTTATATCTATATAAATTACTGTTGAATTCTCACCAGATCTGTAATGCCGGCGACGACAAGCAGACTCATGCCTAGCGTATAATCGCCCTGAACTATAACGTAGCCAATATAGGGCGAAAGTATGGCGCGGCTGATGGTCAACATATTAGGTATGGTCATGATATTTTCACGCTCCTCGCGTATCTCGACAATCTTCTCTCTGACACGCTCCTGCACCTTGTGACGTGCCTCACGTATATCATCTACCAGGAAGTTTTTGCGCTCAATAAACTCTGCACGCTGCTTATCAATGACGCCCTGGAGCAAATCCCTGCCTTGGAGTGTGCGCAGATGAAGCGATTGCTTTTTGGCGTCCGCATAAAGCCGCAGTCTAGCCACATCCCAATTGCGTCGCTGATTGATATCCAAAAAAGAGATACGTATGAAGCCGGTAGCAGCGGCATAACGATTTAGACAGTTAACAAAACTGCTGCCTCCCACGCCGAGCACATGCTTCAATGTGGTTGCTGCCCCATGATGCAGACCGCCTGCGCTGAGGGGGCGGTGCATTTGCCGGAACACAATGGCGGGCAGCATTTTGTTGGCTTGTCGGCTAACAATTCAACAAATTGAACGGAATTGCGATATGTATGAACTGCAAAAAAAAAAAAAAACAAAATCGTGTTTATATTTGTTCGGCCTTGAACGAGGTAGTCAAATGACACTCCATGTTTGGATCCATACCATTTGTTGTCTGCGGACAACCCAAGTAGGTGGTGGGAAGTACAAACACAGCAGGTGTCTACGTATTACTGGTCAAAAATTACATTAAATAAAATTTTTAACAATAATTTAATCAATCAAATGTTTTTATTACACAAGCAGAAGGTTGCCACGTTATTTACAAATGCTGCCATCTGATTGTCGTAACTTATAGTGGCAGCACTGCGATAGCATCGTCCGTCGATTGGCGCGAAAATTTCAAATAAAATGAACATTTTTATTTTTATTTTTATTTTGAATGATATTGTTCTTTCCACTTATATATATATATATATATATATTTTTTTTTTTATTTTTCACAAAAAGCAAGTGAGTCAAAGTAAAATTTGTTTTTCATTTAATCAGTGGACAGAAAAACTTGTCGCAAGTTAGCTTTCCTTCTTAGTCATTTAATTGGATTAAATTTAATTATGCTCTCAGCTGCCGACAGAGGCACCGAAAATAAGCGAATCCCTTCAATATGCAAATGAAGTAAGTCTCTGTAAATGTTTATTACTGTATATAAACTTAAATAGCTGCCATGGTCAAGGCTATGGCCTTCGCCTTAGCTTTATCTGCACGACCGCGGCTAATGAATTAAGTGAAAGTAGCATAAAGAATCTGTGCGGTCGCTAATGAGCTGCAGTAAAGACGAGGCTGGAACATCTGCTCATTTATTTAAATATCATCAAGCGGTATTTTTACTGCCAATGAAATGCATTACAGCAAAGCAAATACAGTATGTTAAATATTTAACATGCATGCACTCTTGTACATTTTGCTCAATTAAAAATCAGACAGCAGCGCAGAAATGACATCCATTAAATATTAATACAATATGGCATCACCGTTGGCGCTGCTTCCGTTGATGACACGCTTCTGGCTGCCTTTTAAGTTCATAATTACGACAAGGACAAGGCGACAAAAGTAGAATGCCAAAAGAAATTGCATGCCTTAAGGCCTTGCCAGACAGTCGAGTAGCTCTCTCGCTCTAGCTGACCCCCACTAACGCCCTTGCCGACAGCATTAAAATGGAAGTGCAACAGCAACGGTAATAACGACAACTACAGCAGCGCCAACAACAATGTCAGGGCATGTCGGCCATTATGTTGTGTGGACAAAAGCATGTTAATTTTTGACATCCCGTAATTTCAGTCACTGCCGCTGAGTAGCTTGAAGTCAGCTATTGACAGTGGAAGTGAGTGCAAGAAAGAGCGCGAGAGATATTGTAGGCTTTAACTACAAGGTAGTAGCCAAGGTAGTAGTATTTCAGCAGGTACCGTCGTGCATTAAAATTTATGACGTATAAGTTTCACATCTAATATTTGATATACATATGTATATGAAGTTAGTATTTAATATTGGTATTTACTTATATATACATAAATTATATTTCATTTTATAATCATAGATTTGTATCTACTTAGAGTATACTGAGTGCACATCGGCTTAGGGTATTTTCTAGTCGGCCTACCTAAACTAGAGCTTTCCTCCATGTTGAAATTTTTTTTTTTTTTTCAAATAGCTTTTCCTTTGTGAGAGCAATTTCCTGTCTACTTTGTACGCATAGCTTTGACCGTTGATTGACTTAATATTATTTTTACAATTTTTTCTTGCTTCATTAATCAAAAGCAATTTGCCGGACATTTCAGCAGCTGCCACCTGCCAGCCAAGATGGTGAAAATGTCAGCAACAGTAAAAATTTCCGCCATTTTGCATAGCCATCGCCAATATAAGTGTATGTGTGTGTGTGTATGCCGTGTTGCTAATTAACTGTATATATTAAGTGGCCATAAAGGCAGAGGTCACAGAGCACTTTAGTCTATTTTAATGTTGTCCCACAAATGGCGGGCGTGATCGGCTTGGACAATGAGCCATGAGCATTCAGCATCGTCCCTGGCAGCTGCTTTGTGTCCTAAATGATTTACTTTAACGCTTTTAAGGCCGACCATAAAAGCGAAGTCTCTACTCTCCTGCACCACATTTGTGTGTATTTAATTTAATTAAATACATTTTACTTTGGTCAGACGCTCTCGGCTCTTGGCTCTCGACTGCATGGTTAATGCGGTCTTAGTCCAGTATAAATTCTGGCCAAGCCACATTTGCTGTAAATTATTTGTGGCCTAAGCTGGAAAATTGGTCAAGTGGCCCTTAAGATTTATGTGGCTGAACAACTAAATCAAAAATCTGCTGCAAATTCAACTTGCCATGCTGCTGACCAAAGTAAACCTTTCGTCAGGTGTTTTACGAGCGCCCACACAAATCACAAACCAATGACGGCTAATTAGAGTGAAAAATAACAGCACCACCACCACTACCACCACCACCACCAGCAGCAGCAGCAGCAGTGGCACAAAAGTGTAACAATGACTTTCCCCCACAATGAATTCTCAACTATTTTCCTACTGCTGCCCGCTTTTGTTCAAACTTATCAAGCGCAAGTGCCGGCAAACTTTTGGTCCATATTCTTGTGTGGTAGGCGTGGCTGGGGGCGTCGGCTGTACACAATTTAAAAGGAGATTAAACCGCAGCTGCCTTGGTCGCCATGTGGGCCATTCACAGTGGCGCCTCCTTGCGCAACATCAAAAGACGCCATAGCCCCAAAAACTTTGCAGCCACACTAGGGACACGTAGGGCACCCACTAGAGCTGGCGGGACGTTGGCGATTTCTCTGGCGACACTTGTCGAAAGTTACGCGTAATTACGACCAAATCAGAGAGAGAGACAGAGGGAGAGAGAGAGAGAGAGAGGAAGAGAGACATATAGTTAGAGGGCGTTCGAGGCGTGGCAGTCAGTCAAAGTGGCACCATGCTGCGGGCCTTGGTTTATGGTAGCTACTCTACCCTACACAGAAACCAGCATATTTGCTGATAAAGCCAGTTGAGCTCATTTAATATATACATATATAAATATATATATACAAGTAAAGCATTATAGAATTTAAATTCATATACATTCTAAATTTATTGTAAAGTCTATTAGCTAAATTTGAGATATACTGAGTGTTATTAAACGTGTCTTTGTTTTATACAATATTTGAAATTATCTTCTGCTTAAATACATATTCCTTTATCATGCAAATCTGCAAATCTACTAATTATTTATTATTATTAATTTTTTGTTTTATCTTTTAATAGAGAATCCAATGAAGAATGTCAGATGTTAGGCAACTGCTCACTGTAGCGTATTCAAACGTCTGCCAGGCTCACAGCTTTCCTTTCTGTTGGACCCATTCGAGACAATGGCAAAGTGTCGGCCACACAAAACTTTGTGCAGGCTGCGCTGATTTCTGGTCTCAAATTGTTGTGGCCTTGTTTGACGTTTCGGCTTTTGGTCTATGCTCCAACTAGGTTCAGTTTATTGCAAAATTTTAAAGAATTTTCATACATTCATATAATGCTGGTGTGGCATTAATGTGCTTTTAATATAATAAAGCAACACTTAAATGAGGCCTCGACTACAAAGGACATCAAGTGAATGAGCTGAATGAGACAATGAACCGGGCGCTGCGAGGCAGACGGCCATCAATCAATTGTTGATAGCTGTGGGGTATCCAAACTATAATAAAATCATTAGGCTGGTAATCCCCGAACGTTTTGCGAAACCAAAATCAAAATAAAATCATCAGGCCAGAAATGATGATGAATGGTCCATTCGAACGAACTCGGCTCGGGCATGACAAAATCTTTATTTGGTTTCCTTCTGTTGCGCAGGCCAATCTCTTTTTAATAAACAAAAGTACAAACACGCACACACACACACACACACACACATACACCAATCTGATATCTATATGAGGCAAATGATGGTGTTGGCCATGCTCCAGTGGCTAATACTCAACAGCCACTGGGAGCAGGCACAACAACAACAACAACAACAACAACAGCTGACCCCATGGCATCATTATCAGACAAAACAACTTTCAGTTGGTTCGCCCACTCTCCGCTATTCGGTAAGAAAAATGAAAATGTTTAACGGGAAAAAATAAAATACTCACGTTTCTCTCCCAGGCGAACGTGATTCAATTTGTTTTGTTGGTTAGAAAACTAAAATAGCAAAAAGTATATAGAGGTATAAAGCCAGCATGGCAAAGCAAAGCTGAGCAAGGCAGCGCAAGGCAACGCCAGGCAGGCCAAAGTCAAGCACAGCGGGCTAAAAGCGTTAGCGTGGCGAAAAACGGAAAAATTATAGCAATGGCAAGGCGGCATTAAATGTGGACTTGGACCCGCCAAGGCTGGCCGTGGCGGTCAGCATAAAGAGAATAGCTAAAGCTAAGATCAACGTGTTTCGGGAATAGTTGAATGAGGTGTGTGTGAACGAGAGAGAGAGAGGGAGAAGCAATGTGTGTGTTTGTGTTAGTGAGTTTGCTGTCTAAACTATGAATGAAAACAACTGCAGCGGAGGCAATGCTGCCCAAAAGTAGGCAACGGAAATGACGAGAGGGCAGCTTAAAAAGTTAAATTTTTTGTATCTATAGGCCCATTTAATAGCAACGGCTTAGAGCTGAATGTGTCAGTGTTATTTAATAAGTTAACAGGAATCAATCAATTGCTGCAAATAAAATAAAGATACAAAATAAAATAATAATTCAATAATACTATATATTCTATATTATATTTATATATATGTATATATATTTATACTATTCTTTAATTGCAGCATACATTTTTTCTCACTTTCCGCTGTGAAGAATTTCTGGTACAGCCCTCGCCTTTCCAAAATGAAGTTAAATATATGTGGCCGAGAAACACGCCCACAGGCGCACATGTAATGCGGCTTGTCTATTGTGCAGACTATAAGGTCATTTTAAATTAGTTTTTGCTTTTGTTGTTCTTTTTTCCACTGCTTTCTTACTTTTGCACTTTTCTTTTTGTTTTTTGTCCATATTTCTTTATTTATTTATTTTTTTTTGTTGGGACTCTTGCCGCTTTGGGTTTTAGTTGGGTTAGTGGCAAGCTATGTTTGTTAAGGGAATTGCTTATACGTCGAGTGTTGCCGTTATGACAATTACGTAACACATTTGCGTGACGCAAATGTAGAGGAAACTCAACTCATGCGGCTCTCAACTGGGCACACTTAAGCCAGAACGCTTACTCATGGCAATGCTTCGATTT